TTGGAAATCTGAGTCAATTATTTTTGTCAAATGTTATCAAGTCCCCGATGAGAATCAAGATGTCCAGATGACACGTTTGCTCTCGTCTGCTTAACTGGCCTCTGGTGCGTTCACGCAGAGGAGGAGTACCCAGACCTGTCCGGGAGGCCTGTGTTCTGTGTCTCCCACTTTGCTCTCACTCACTGTCTCCCCTCGCTGCCTTTCTTGCAGAGGAGCGTGCTTCAGCTGCTGCACTCACAGAGTGAGGTGGTGCGCCAGTACACGGCCCGGCTCATCAATGCCTTCGCGTCACTTGCAGAAGGTAAGGTGACAGGTTTTCTCCAGAGAGGAGAGCTGGGTCTTACTGATACACTGAAGCTCTTCTCTTTGCAAATCAACATTCTCCGCCAAGTTTCGTAGAGATAATATATGTTTCCTCAGTCTTCAATGCGTCTTTCATGCGTCTGATGAAATTTTAATGCATCTAAGGTCTTTAATGAAAATTAGTTGTTGTCAGATTGCTTTAGTTTATGTCAGTAATTTTGAAGGCTTGGGAGTTTATTTTGTAAGCCTTCTGCTTTTATTTTGTAAGCTTTCTGGTTTTGTAACTATAATTTAGATTGCTTGCAAAGGTATAGAGCTAATGCACTTTCTTTAATTTTCTACTTAAAGCCAAAATAAGGTTAGTGAAATCGTTAAAGCTGATTCCAGTAAGCACTGTGCCATTTTCTTCAAAAAGTGATAACCTCTTCAGTCAAGGAGGATTTGAAAGTTCCAAAGAGGGCATGTCACCGTAATGAAATCCAAAATGATTTAACAAAGTGTCATTATCTTCTATGAATTCTAATTTGTTTGAGCTCTTCTTTATATGAATAAAGGGAGTTTTCAAAGTATGAATATGTGATACTCCAAAAGTGTGCTCATTCATTCGTTTGTCCTTCCATCCATTTATCATTTATTATAAACCAGATTATGTGCTGGGGACCATTCATATCATACTGTTAAAATTTATATCTGAAATTAATGTCTTCTGTTTCAATGTGGAGGACCACGATAGACTAGTGACAATCCACGACCAATTATAAGATCCCAGGTGTGGTTCCCAACCTCTTCTCCAGGCCATTGGCATGTCTGGAGGGGCAGGGAGTGCGGCCGGAAGCACCGATCAGCTGTCTCTTTGTAAAGGCAGAGGGACTTCTTTCTCTCCCCTTAGATCTGACTGTTGGGGTCAAGATTTCAGATAAGTACAGTGGTCTCCACAAAATCATGACGAAAAATTATGTTTAGATTACTTAGAAGAGTGATTTTCTATTCATTAGATAGTAGATTGACTGAAACCAACTTTGTAGAAGAAATATGTTTTAATAACTTTTTTAGACCATAAAATTACCCAAACTCTATATTTGTTATATGCAGATAAAGTTTTCACAGGAAGTATGTTTTGGAGCATGAACTTAATTTAATGGAAGATGAGTCCTTTCCCTCTTTCGCTTGCCCTGAGTCCTGTTTCATCTCTGGTTATCTTATCAGGTCGCCTCTACCTTGCCCAGAACACAAAGGTGCTGCGAATGCTGGAGGAAAGGCTGAAGGAGGAAAACAAGGACGTCATCACCCGGGAGAATGTCCTTGGGGCCTTGCAGAAGTTCAGCCTCAGGTGAATAGGCTGTGCAATGGTGGCTCCTGTAAAATCAAATTTGGGTTTATCTTAAGCCACTATTTAAACCAAAAAAAAACAAACACATTGCCATCAAATTGATTCCAACTCATAATGACCCTGTAGAAAAGAGTAGAACTGCCCTATAGGATTTCCAAGGGAGTAATCTTTAGGAAAGCAGACTGCCACATCTTTCTGCCGAGGAGCAGCTGGTAGGTTCAAACCGCTGACCTTTCAGTTTGCAACTAAGCACTTAACCACTGCCTTCAAGGGCTCACAGTGTGTTGTGGGAGCCATGCAAGTAAATGAATAATCGCAGTGGAGAATGGGAAGTCCTTCTGTGGCAGTCAGGGTGAAAGCCGTCTGGTTCCTTGTCCACATACCCAGCCACCCACCCCCATAGTCTCAGTCTGGACCCTGTCATGCCTTGGAACTGTTCGACAGCAGGAATGCTAAAATTGGATACTCCTTGAATCATATCTAGTGTCCTTCCAACGCTCTCTCTCTCCCTTTTTTAAAATTATTATTAACAGCTTTGTTGCAATTGTTGTTAGGTGCTGTCAAGCTGC